ATGGACCATTGTATACCTCTAGGGGTTGTTGTTACTCCACGCATTACTTCGTCGAGAACTAAGTTGAACAGTAGGGGGGAGAGTGGGCAACCCTGCTTTACACCATTGTTCATTTGTAATGGCTCGCTTAATTCATTGCCGTGCAGCACTCTGATTTCTGAGTTATTGTATAGGGCCCGTATAATGTTTATTATTTTCTCTGGTACTCCCCTACTGGCCAGCGTCCTCCAAATCTGCTCACGTCTTATAGTATCAAATGCTCTCTCAAAGTCTACGAATGTTATGTATAATGGGGACCTCCATTCAACTGATTGTTCTACTATTAATCTCAGTGTGTTAGAGTGATCGATGCAACCTCTTTGTTTTCTGAACCCAGCCTGTTCTTCTCGCAGAGTATGCTCAAGTTGCGTTTCGATTCTTTCGAGGACTATGAGGGCCAGCACTTTGTTTACTGAGTTTAGTATGGTGATTCCCCTCCAGTTGGAGCATTCTCGGAGGTCACCCTTCTTTGGGAGCTTCACTATAAGGCCCTGCTTCCATGAATCCGGGACATTCTCGTTCTGCCACACACTTTGGAGTACTGGATGTAGTATTGCCGCAGTACTACCAATGTCAGCCTGTAGAAGCTCTGCGGGGATGCCGTCAATGCCTTCTGCCTTATTCTTCTTTAATCTCTTTAGGGCTTCCACTGTTTCTCGTTGTGTGGGCGGGGAAGCATTTATTCGGAGGGCATGATTTGATTGTATTGCTGCATATTCTTCTGGCACATTTAAGTGGTGTGAGGTTTCTTCAAAGTGCTCCCTCCAACGCTGAAGCTGCTCAGTTCTCGACGTCAGCAGATTTCCATTTTTGTCTAAGATTGGCCGATTAGTTTTCGTGTTGGTCTTAGTAAGCGATCTTATTTTATTGTACAGGGTGCGCATATCATTACGCTCGGCTGCTGCTTGTGCTTCTGACGCGATATTGTTGTAGTATTTTCGCTTATCACTTCTGGCAGACTTCTTAACTTGTTTCGCAATGTTGTTGTATTCTGCTCTGAGTTCAGGTGTAGGGCGTGCTAAGAGCTTATTTCTCAGATCTCTTCTTATTCTTATCTTTGCCCATGTATTGTCAGAGATCCATATTTTTCGCTCTGGTTCTTTAATTCCTACTGTTTCTTCACCTATCTGTCGTATACTTGATTGTATATCGCTAGGATCCAGCTGTCGTGTAGCCAATTCTTGCATTTTTGATACAAATTGACGCTTTGTACTTTCTATTTGTAGTTCTGGTACACGCAGACCCCCTCTTCTTTTGCGAGCCGTATATCTCAAAGCACTTGGTCTCAATCTTATATCTCCAGTGATAAGCATATGGTCACTGTGTATATCAGCCCCCCTTCGTGTTCTGACATCTAGCAGCGAGCCTTTCCATTTTGCGCTGACACATATGTGGTCTATTTGGTTTCTTGTTTGACCATTAGGGGACTCCCAGGTGTACTTGTGTATACTCTTATGAGCGTAGAAGGTGCCGCCAATCGCCAAGTTGAATTCTGTACATAGGTCGAGGAGACGGTCGCCATTATTATTTCTTGTACCAACACCATGGGGGCCCATGATTTTTCTTGGGTCATTCTCCGACATTGCACCCACTTTTGCGTTTAGATCGCCCATAAGTATGATGATGTCTGTTCTTGGGATATTGCTAATAGTTGCCACAAGTTGGGAGTAGAATTCATCCTTATGTTCCTCATCTGACGTTTCGGTTGGGGCGTAGCATTGGATAATTGTTATTTTTCTTATTTTGGTATAGAATCTAGCCGCAATTATTCTGTCAGAGGTTGACTTCCAGCTCATCAGGCTATTGACCATGGTTTTATCTATTATTATTCCTACGCCATTGCTTCCGCCCGTACCACCAGAGTATATGAATTTGTTACCCTCATTTGTTATTAGCTCGTTCATACCAGGCCATCTTGTCTCGCTTACTCCCAATATTTTTACCCTGTATCGCTTCATTTCTTGTTCAATTTGTGCCCATCTTGACGGTTCTAACATAGTTCTAACATTCCATTGTCCGATTCGAGTCCTTGTATGAGTTCCAATGTTCGTTACCAGGTTATCAACAGTGTTAATCCGAGGCCGTGTATCGGTTTCTTGAGTCAAAGGAATTCACTAGGCGGGTGACTAGCCTACCGTAGCTATCTACATAATCTAGTTGATTTTATCGCCCTGTAGAGGGACGAGTCAGAATTTTTTCCGCAAGATGTCGCCGCGGTCTGTACAGCCCTGAACTTCTTCTGACGGTAAGTTGAGATGTTTGGTGGGTTGTCAGTGTCATGCGTCAGATGATATATTTTATATTAATTATTTCAGTTTATTAATTGTATTGTGTATTTGCGGGCTATAGTATTGGATATTAAGAATATATGGTAATTATTTTGTATTAAGGTTATACTAATATTAGATATTAATTTTTAGGTTATATGTGGACTGCTGTGGGAGAATTGAGATTACTTATTCAGTAATTCCACATCTATTTAGTGCAGGCCGTCGCAGGATTTGAACCCACGCTCCCTCGGTTGATTCAATCTACACTCGAGTGCTTGACCACTCGGCTACCGAGGCCACGCCTGTTAATTACCTCTTTCCAATTTTTAGGACATTAGTAAGCTTATAGTTAACATATCTAGAAAAATGTAAATTTGGCTCTTTGTACAGTTTCGTTTTGTGCTATCCGAATTCCCCGAAATGCCCACCAGATAGTTTTGGTAATGCCCAGAACTCAATTATCAAATTTCATGAAATCCCATCAATTCGTTCCGTAGACCATATCTACGAAAAATGTAAAATCGGCCCGCAAATCAGTTTTCGAGCCCTGATGTTTCCAAAAAATTTATATGTTCATTGCTTTAATACGAGGAATTCATATATTAAATTTCAATGAAATCGGTTGGTTTTTTCTCTTTTTATACACAAAAATGAATATTTGGCCCGTAGTAAACGTCTAGTTGCCAATGCCTGGTCTTTCCAAAAAATTTACATGTTCATTGCTTTAATACGAGCAATTCAAATATTAAATTTCAATGAAATCGGTTGATTATTTCTCTTTATATACACAAAAATGTATATTTGGCCCGTAAATGTATAGTTGGCCCGGTTGAATGCTTTCTTCAAAATGTTCAAAAATGTAAAACAGGTCCGCTAAAAAGTGCAGTTCTCAAAGCCTGATATATCCCAAAAGTTGATCAATCCGTGCCATGGTGGAAATAAACTTACATATAAAATTTCATCAAAATCGGTTCAGCCGAACTTGAGATACACGCGTGCGCACACAGACCGACAGACCGACAGACGGACAGACCGACAGACCGACTGACCGACGGACCGACAGGTTGCTAAAAATAGTTTACTTACACTTCCCTACTATGGAGAAGTGCATTCCCACCGAAAACTCGATATGCAAAATTTGTTGCCATCACATAACCTACCTATTGTTTACACAATACGGTCGGTAACAAGAAAATTTTGCTGTTAGAAGATTTATACGCCCATCTCAAAATATTTTAGATTCAAAAAAGAAAACAGAAATTGCTTAACTAAAAAACTAATTTAGTTTATGAGGATTCAAGTAATGATGAGAAGAACACAACCAGTTTGGATATAGAGAATAATCTACTTAATAATATAGGATAAAAGTTTGTGAACGGAGTATAATTTAACTTAAATTTGTAAATACACTGAGAAATTGAACAATGTTTAAACCATAAGATAATAATTATTTTATTATTACAATGATTTCAATATACATATAATTTTCATTTTAACTCACATATGTCTCTTAAACTAGTAATGCAGTTGTTTTGAGACAGTAAGGCTTTTTGGTATGGCGTTAAAATTTGAAATAGAATTTGGGAACGGAAGCGCTTGCAGAGGTGGATTTCAATGTCAAAGAAATCAGTAATTTGCAAATCTGAGGTTTCGCGCCATGACTTGGATGGGTAAAACCGAACGACTTGAGGTCTAATTGTGTACCTTTTACATTCATCAAAATGATTTTAGAAAATTTGAAAAAAAATTTCGATTAAGTTTTGGAAATTTTAACATAATGAAACATTTGAAAATATTGATACGGTTCTATTTTCACCTTTTTTAGTTTATTCATTATTAGAAACTAATATTAACAAAAAATAATTAACTTTATTAGTTATTGATTTAAAATAATAAGTTAATTTCTTCTCAGCTTCCATTTAAAAAACTTTGCATCAATACCAAATCACAAAAAAATTGATCCACAGCTGATTTAAAACGATACACATATGATGCGTATTTTTGAAATTTTTGGACATAAAACTTTATAAGTGTTACCATATTGATTATATTTTTGTACATGATTTTTAGATGAATTTAAATCAATGCTGCATCGATTACTTTCTGATTATACCCTAAATCTAAATAATTTTGTTATAATCATATTAGGTCTGCCTGCGATTTAACTTGCAAAAACTTTAAAAAGAGAAAAAATGGCGAAATTTCTCTCAAAAAGAAAAAAATTCTCACTTAAAAAAATAAACCAGACAGAAAATTTGAAAAAGACTTTTAAAAACTATAAATAAATGATAAACGTCAAATTTCAAAGTATTTATCAAGCATAAACAAATATTTTTTTGTTTATACCAAAAGCCGAAAATTTCAATTTTCAAAAATCTTCAGACATAACCACGAAAAACATATGTTTCGACAGCTGTAGGATTTGCAAAGTTTTTAAAACACTAAATTTTGCTTTACAAAACTTGAAAAAACTTTAAACATTGTCACTATTTTCTCTCATTTTTGTTCAAAACGTAATTTCTCAGACAGTTTGCATCTTGACATTATAAAAAATCTTATTTCTGAGTAAAGTATTCCTGTCTGCCGTGGTTTGCCTGCACAAACTTTATAAAGTTTTTAAAAATCTCTTGGCAAAGCTTGGGGAACTTTTGAATTTGTAAAATTTATTAAAAAAAAACTAAAACTGTGAGCCCATATTTATTATGCTTGTAAGTGCATACATACATATATGATATATATTTATGTTTCGTAAAATGTTTGTTTTATTATAATGTTTGCCTAGAAAATTTCATAATATTTCAAATTTTCAGCAACAAGTGTATAGTGCTCTGGCACAGCATCTTCGCTTAATAACGCGTCTTTAGCACCTGAAAACCCATTTAAAACACAATTCTTTAGCGTATCTCTTTTTAACATTGCTGAAATAAATCCGCTACAGAAACTATCACCTGCGCCTGACACATTTATTATATTATGAATTTTTGGAGCTTCAAAGTAAAAATTTTTTATTAGTGTGTCTGGCTTTCCTTTATAAATCAAATCATTATCAAAAAATGTGTGTTGTATATCCAAGGGGCCACTCACTATCACTCCGAAAGAGCCCAAAGTCAATATTACACAATCAAAATTACCGTTCACATCATTTAGCAATTTTTTCGCAACTTGCATTGTTTCTTCTTTATTTTCCAAAATTTTTGTGTTCAAAAAATCCATCGACTCTCCTTTTATGCTTTTCGAAATAGCTTGTAGCTCAAAGATATTTGGAGATATAAATTTAATTTGATCTGTGAAAATGGAGCCTAACGTAAAAGGCTTATCTGCAATTCGCATATCACTTGGTTCATAAAATACTAAAAAGAAACAAAAAAATTTATAAAAAATATTTTACCATATTTTACTTGCAAAAATTTGTAAAAATTTTTCACGGTACTTGCAGTTACCAATATTACTGAGCTCCTACTCAATGTGATTATTAGTTTCTACTGAATAGAACTATGAATACAAATTTTGTGCAGGAATGTCGTACTTTATCACTCCTTCAGAATTATAAAGTTCTATCCTTAACAAATGGAAAAACATTTACTTTTTGATTCCGAAAGGCTCTGTACCCATTTAAATGCTGAAATACGAAATATGGTCTTCTACAGTTGCCTAAATTTTAAATTACAAATGAAATAAACATGTAATTTTGCCACAAAAACCCTCCTCTTAATTTATTTTTGTTTTATGCTTTCCACTATTAGAGTTAATACGAGTATAGAACTTCCTACTATTACAACACGTGATAAATTTTTTTGAGGATTCAAATGATATCTTTATTATTAGTTATAACATAGAACCTATTTTTTATAAAGTTATTTCCTTTTAAACTAGCAGCGAAAGAGAACAACATAGAACTTTTTTTTCGGTTTTTATTCAAAACGATCAGCTGTATTCTTATTAATCAAAATATTTGCGGGAGCATTAAAATTTTCAAAAATGTTGAGCTTTTTGAGGATTAGTTTTTTTATTAAATAAAAATAAAATTTATTTGAACAAAGTTGGAAAAGAAGGAAAAAAAAAGTTTGAAGAGAAAGTTTTGTAATTTAGTAATTACCATTTTTAATTTAAAATATCGTAAGATTTTCAATTCTAATTATAAAATATGTACACAAATAAGATGTGGACGAACTGATAAACATGGTAGAAGAATATCTTATAGATGAATATGAGGCTTGCACCAATACGATAAACTTTAAAGCTATCCTCTTTTCAAAAGTGCTTAAATTAAACTTAACTAACTACTGTGGAATTTAAACTAAGTCATTATGATTATCATTTGGAAACAGAAGATCTTAAACAACTAAAACTAAAACAAAGAAAGTGTAATGAAAACGAAGATATAACTATTAGACTTCCTATTCGAAAATGTTTTCCTACAAAGACTTGGTCTCTGCTAACAAAAAGCCAGCTCGTTCTCCCCAATGTTGAAATTAATGCCAACCGTCGATAAGGGCTATTTTTCAAGTATTTTACGTAGAGTACAAAATTAAAACTGTCTAATTTTAAAACATAATAAAAATATTATAACTATTTTTTTGTGTGTATAAAGAATTTTAATCTTATGAATTTGTTAAGTTTTTTTAAGTTTCTCTTTGTTAATTCAATGTTGAAGTGCTTATTTATTTTTTTTATTTTGGTTTTGTTTAGTTTTATATTTAAAAATAAATATTAAATAATAAAATCTTGATTTTTTCATTTTCCAAACAAATTACCCCAAATTCTGTTGAAACCTCAACGTAAAACATATTATATAATACTTCATTGTTAAAGAGCTCTATGTTTAATATAAAACCTCTCTGGTCTGCGACTGATCCCTGAGGGACGCCAGAAATTATATGTGCTGCCTTGCACGAGGGAATTATTCTCAAAGGCTAGGACAAGAAAACTCCGAAATAAAACAAACATCTTGCAAAGACTCTCTAACCGAGTTAGAGAGTCTTTGCAAGATGCTACAAAACGGGACAAAGATTTTAGGAAAACGGGCAAAGCTTATGGGCAAAGACTTTAAATGTCTAGATGTTGTAAATAAAATCAAAAAGAAGAAAGAAATGGAAAATATATTTCAGTAAAACTTCCGCTCTTTATGTTATCTTTTGACCATGCGGAAGAGATAAACAAGATCTATAAAATAGAATACTAACAGCACATGAGAGTAAAAATTGAAGCTCTTAGAAGCAGCAAATCCATTCCGCAATGCAAGAGATGCCAGAGATTTGGACACATACAAAAGTTTTGCCAAAGAGAGGCTAGATGTGTAAAATGTCCTGGTAATCATATGACAGCATAGTGCAACAAGAAGGATAATTTTAGCCCAAATGTGCGAACTGCAACGAGGCACTCCTTGCTGGCTATCGCGGTTGTTTGGTTGTAAAAGAATTGCAAAAAAGAAGATTGAAAAAGAATAGAACCAAACAAAACCAAGTTAAAGTTAATGAACAAAGCAAAACCCCAGAAAACAGGAAAATGAAGGAACCTGAGAACAAACCCCACCAATAAAAATTACTGACGCAGGCATTATGCAAATGATGTATAGTATATTGATTAGAATTGACGAGATCCGTAAAAGATTATTAAAAATCTTTATGATTTACGTACATACATCTTAGATGTACGTAAATGAGGTACGTATTGTAACTTGGAATGCTAATGGTGTTCTTAATAAGAAACAAGAATTGGAGGTCTTTCTCAAAACGAGAAATATAGATATTTGTTTGCTGTCGGAGGCTGATTTGACATATTATACGAGTCCTAAAATAAAAGGCGGCACAAATCAGCAATCAGCCAAGAGGTACAAGCATGGACACAGATATCTAATAGGAGGTGACTATAATGCCAAACACACAGATTGGGTTTCTAGAATCACCTGAACTACAGGAAGAAAGCTATGAAAAGCTATTCAAAAGCTAAATTGTTGCTATCACTCCACTGGCACTCCTACTTATTGGTCTACTGACATTAACAAGGTTCCTAATGTTATTGACTTTTTTATAACCAAAAAAATATCACAAAACTTTCTAAGTCTTGAAGATAACTATAATTTTAATTCGGATCACTCTGCTGTGATATTAAAACTAAGTGAAAAAATAACAAAAACATTATTTACGCCTACTTTGGCAAATAGCACTATTTAATTGTTTTAATTACGTAATTGGGCGAGCTTTAAATACGAAATAATAAACAATATTGACGTAAATATTAATATACAATCAAGAGAACAATTAGATGTGGAGTTAAAAGTATTTATTAAAATCATACAAAAAGCTGCATTGTTCGTATTGTTCGAAAATGTCAAAGTACAAACCGATAGCAAATAGCTATCCTGGAGAAATAACTGATTTTGCAGGTGAAAAGAGAAGGGCCAGACGTAGATGGCAACGTTCACGTCACCCTAATGATAAGACTGTTTTAAACAGACTTTCCCAGGTGCTTAAAAGAAAAATCCAAGAATTTAAATCGGCAGCATACGAAAATTATATATAGAACTTGTCAGCTACGAAAGAAACGAGTTATTTCTTATGCAAGGCGGCAAAGAGCAAAAAGAGACCGATTAAGTACGCTCCACCACTAATGAAAGCAAAAGGAAGTTGGGCGAGGAGCAATATAGAGAAGGTCGAACTGTTTGTTGATCACTTGGAGAGCATATTCACGCCAAACGGAATAACTTCAGATGTAAGTTTGGTAGAATCTATCGCAAATAAAATAGACAGCATAGCTCCACTTACTCAATTAGAAATTGCGGAAGAGATAAGATCCCTGAAGTTGAAAAAATCGCCAGGTTTTGATCTTATTACTGCGGAAATACTGAAAGAGCTACCAGACGAGGCATTGGAACATCTGACGATAATCATGAATACAGCTATGGATTTTGGGTATGTTCCTTGTGCTTGGAAAGTCGCGGAGGTAATTATGGTGCTCAAACCCGGGACATCCTTGAGAGAAACAATGTCTTACAGGCCCATTTAACTGTTACCAATGATGTCTAAAGTTTTTGAAAAGCTGCTATTAAGGAGATTGAAGCCAATAATAGAAAATAGGGGCCTAATACCAAGCCATCAATTTAGTTTTAGAAGAAACCATCCTACAATATACCAGGTCCATAGAATAACGAATATTATAGAAAAAAGCTTGGAAAAAAAGGAAATCTGCTCTTCTATATTTCTAGACGTAGCACAGGCATTCGACAAGGTATGGCGCAAGGGCCTTATACTTAAGTTAGGGAAAATATTACCATCGTCATTTATAGAAATTTTGAAATCTTACTTAGCTGATAGATTATTTAGAATTAAACAAGATGCTGAATACTCCACGCAAAGAGAAATAAAGGCAGGTGTGTCTCAAGGCCAACGCTGGCCCAACGTTGTACCTGCTTTACACGAGTGATTTGCCACAAATAGAAAATGCTACGATAGTCACTTTTGCTGACGATACTGCAGTATTGGCAATACGAGCGAACATTGACGATTCGACAAAAAAAATTATAGGAGGCAATTAACAAAATAAGCCAGTGGACTAGCGATTGGAAAATGAAGTTGAACGAAGCAAAATCGGTTCACATAAATTTCACCAAGCGGAAAGTAGTGAATCCACCACAAATCAACGTAAATGGGACCTGGGAATGATTTTAGATGTCAAGCTAAGGTGAAAGGGGCATATAAAGAAGAAACACATAGAATTAGAAAATAAATATAGAGAAAATTATTGGCTTCTAGGTCGTAAGTCCAATTTGGCAATTGATAATAAGATATTAATTTATAGCCAAATCATTTAACCAATATGGCTATATGACATTCAACTGTGGGGTTGTGCCAAGAAGACTCACATTAACAAAATTCAAACCTTCCAGAATAAAGTTCTACGGGGCATGGTAAATGCGCCATGGTATATACGTAACAGTGATATTCACAGGGACTTAGGAATTCCTTTGGTTGTGGATGAAATTAGGAGTTATGCTACAAAGCGTAGGGCTCGTCTAGAACAGCATGTAAATATGGAAGCAGCTCAGCTGCTAAACAATGGCGTTATGACCAAAGTATATCTATTAATAAGTAATTCAACTCTCTGTTTACATCACACTAGTGCAATCACTCACCAATGTTTGTATACAAAAAATTCCCTTAGCTAAAAGAATTAAGCAGTATACCATGTTATTTTCGTTTTTATACACATAAGAATTTTTTTGGAGAGGGAAAAAGTGCGCAATAGATGTCTACCTGTTTTTTTATGTTGTATTTTTAAAAGCGGGAATTATTTATTTTTCCCTATATAAAGTATAGGAAAAAATATTAAGAATTTTAAAGGCGGGAGTTTT